AAAAAAAAAAAAAAAAAAAAAAAGAAGGTATGTGGGAGGGAAATAAAGAGAGAACATATTTTTTAAGCTTAAAATTTAATTGTTTTCTACTGAGACTGTCTTAAGAATATCCTAGGGCAATTTGTACTGCATGTTTTCAGTAAAATTCAGCTTGATGTCTTAAGAAATTAAGCCATCAGGTTGTCTTAACCTTCACAGATAGAAGAGCTTTCTGTTTTATTTTGTTTGTTAAAAGGGTGTGAATTCAGGCAACTATGAAGGGAAAGAAATGTTAACTTTTTTCTTTAAAATTTGATAGGTTTGAGAAATTCCTCTGGTTCATTACCTCAGAGAACTATCTAATTATTGGTGGACGAGATCAGCAACAGAATGAAATAATTGTGAAAAGATACTTGACACCAGGTAGGTAAGATTAAAATTCTGAAGAATTTTCTTTTAAGTAACTGGATCGGTTATCTCAATATTAGGTGTAGATTTTTATCTTGTACTCCTTTGTTTGACAGATTTACTTGGTAGAAAGAATTTCATGGTTTATGGTTTGTTGAATATGTGCTTTGACACTTGATTCACATTTTAAGTGAATATCCCTAAAGTAGTAATGCCAAGCTAATCTGTAGTATTTTTGATTTTCTACTGCATTAAGAAAATAGCTTTCAATCCTCCAAAGTCATTGTAGATCAGATTTTTAAAAGCTTAATTTTTCAGTGCTGAAGTTTGTGACCGTTTTTCACTTTTAGAAGCAGGACTTAAGCGCTGTGTTGTAAGGCCTCTCGTTTGTTTTTGTTTTGTTTTGTTTTGTTTGTTTTGTTTTGCGGTACGTGGGCCTCTCACTGTTGTGGCCTCTCCCATTGCGGAGCACAGGCTCCGGACGCGCAGGCTCAGCGGCCATGGCTCACGGGCCCAGCCGCTCTGCGGCATGTGGGATCTTCCCGGACCAGGGCACGAACCTGCGTCCCCTCCATCGGCAGGCGGACTCTCAAACACTGTGCCACCAGGGAAGCCCCTCTCATTTTTTTTTGTTTGCTGATAACCACCACTTCACTGTGGCTGAACCCTCAGTGTGAGTATCGGAAATCAATAATCAGTATCAGAGCTAATCTGATGTCCTTTGAGGATCCAGAACCAGGAAAGAAAGCAACAGGGTTAGGTTACATGGTACCCAGGGCTTGGTCTCTGTCTTCTCTAACTTTGTTCATTGTGAGCTGAGCCTTTCATGGAACTGTATGGGCTTTGCTCTTCTTTGAGTTTCAAATCTCAGATGCACTATCCATGGCAAACAATGGCTGCTCATTTTTTCTGTTAGAAACCATGCACTTTCCTTTTCCCTAGTTGACCATTCATTCCTGCATTCATCTGTTTGCTCATTTATTCATTTGTTGCTATCACACACTTCAGAATAAAACTAGAAGTCCTCATTGTGGCTTACAAGGCTCCTGACTTCTTCTCTAGCCTCATTTCTTACTTTCCTTCAGTCTGGCTTCCTGGCTGTTTGTCACATTTGTCAACCATCTATGGTCCTCAGGACCTTTGCACTTGCTAGGATGACTCATCTCTTTGTGTCTCTCACCCATCATCAGGCTAGCCTGGGCTTGCTTATATGGTAACTCAGCAAATTTCTGAGAGAAAAAGAGGAAGCATACAGCACCTCTCAAGGCCTAGGCTGGGAACTGGCATTTGGTCACATCTGCCACATTCTGCTGGCCAAGGCAGGTCAAGGGGTCGGCCCACATTTGAGGGATGGGGAAGTGGACTCCACCTCTTGATGGGAGAAGTTTCAAGGTCATAGAGCAAAGAGGTGTGGATAGAGGGAGGGAGAAGAACTGTGACCATTTTTGTAATCTGCCTTAATAGCATTGCTTTCCTCTGAGGAGGCCTATGAGAAATCTCCCAGGGGTGGGAGATAGACTTTTCTTTATATGTCTCCTTATACCTTTTGGATTTTGAACCCATTAAACAATAAGTAAATAAACAGTTTCAACTTAAAAACAAAGAGACAGGACTTAAAGTATTATTTCTTATTTGTTTTAAAGGGGACATTTATGTACATGCTGACCTTCATGGAGCAACTAGCTGTGTAATTAAGAATCCAACAGGTAATATATTTCTTTCTATTATTCATAACTTTAATTCTTTTGTTTAAAATATTTTTAGTATAAGAGAAAAATCACTAATACAGATAAAGAAGGACACTTTATAATGATAAAAGTGTCAATCCATCAATAAGGTGTAACAGTTGTAAACACATATGCATCTGTAACTTCCCTGGTGGTGCAGTGGTTAAGAATCCGCCTGCCAGTACAGGGAACACAGGTTCAAGCCCTGGTCCAGGAAGATCCCACATGCCACGGAGCAGCTAAGCCCGTGCACCACAACTACTGAGCCGGTGCTCTAGAGCCTGCGAGCCACAACTACTGAGTCCATGTGCCACAACTACTGAAGCCCACATGCCTAGAGCCTGTGCTCTGCAACAAGAGAAGCCACTGGAATGAGAAGCCCACGCACCACAATGAAGAGTAGCCCCTGCTCACACAACTAGAGAAGGCCTGCGTGCAGCAATGAAGACCCAACACAGCCAAAAATAAATAAATGAATTTATAAAATAATAAATAAACAAACATATATGCGTCCAACAATAGGGCCATAGAATACATGAAGCAAAATCTGACAGAATTGAAGGGAGAAATAGACAATTTAATAATAGTAGTTCAAGACATCAATACCTAACTTTCAATCATGGCTAGAATAACTAGCTATAAGATCAACAAGGAAATAGAAGAGTCGAACAACACTCAAGTTACCTAGATTCTACACATATCTCTAGTACACTTACCTCACAACACTAGGTTACTCATTCTTCTCAAGTGCACATGGAACATTCTCCAGGGTGGACCATATGATAGTCTATAAAATAAGTCTCAGTTAATTTAAAACTAATGAATCATATAAAGTAAATTTTCTGACCATAATGGAGTGAAATTAGAAACCACTAATAGAAGAAAATTTAGTGGAAATAAACAACACACTCATAAAATAACCAGTGGATCAAAGAGGAAATCACAGGGGGTATTAGAAAATACTTTGAGGTGAATTGAAATGCAAACAAATTTATTGAGACTTATGAGATGCACCTAAGGCAGTGCTCAGAGGGAGATTTATAGCTGTACTACCTATAATAAAAAAGAGGAATGATTTGAAATCAATAACAAAACTGTACACATTAAAATTTAGAAAAAGAAGAGCAGATAACCCATAGTAAGGAAAGGAAGGGAAATGGTAAAGAGTAGAGTGGAAATAAAACAGAATAGAAAGACAGTGGAGAAAAATCAACAAAACCAAAGTTAGTTCTTTGAAAAGATCGATAAAGCTGATAAACCTTTAGCTAGACTAACCAAAACAATAAGATTCAAATTCCTAAAATCTACAGAACTTTTAAAGAAGACTCAACATCAATCCTTCATAAACTTCCAAAAGGTAGAAGAGAGAGGAACTTTCTAACTCATTCTATAGGACTGGTATTACCCTAATAACAAAACCAGACGAAGATATCACAGGAAAGAAAACTACAGACCAATATCATTTGTGAATATAGACACAAAAATCCTCAAAATATTAGAAAACTGAATCCAGCAGCATATTACAAGGATTATACACATGATAAAGTGGGATTTATTCCCAGGAACGCAAAGTTGGTTTAACATATGAAAATTAATGTAATACAGTGTATTAGTAAAATAAAGGACAAAAACCACATGATGATCTCGATTGATGCAGAAAAAGCCTTTGGTAATAATCCAGTACTCATTTGTGATAAAAACACTCTACAAACTAAGAATAGATGGAAACTTCCTCAAGTTGGTAAAGAACATCTATGAAAAAATCCACAGCCAAAAATCATGCTTAATGGTGAAAGACTGAGAGCTTTTCCCCCAAGATCAGGAACAAGATAAGCACATCTGTTCTTGCCACACTTTTACTCAACATTGTATGGAGGTTCTAAGTAGCCCATTAGGCAATAAAAAGTTTAAAATATCCAAATTGGTAAGGGACAGATAAAACTGTCTCTGTTTGCAAATGACATAATCTTGTATATTTAAACCTTAAGCAGTCTACTAAAAATTATTAATCAGTTCAGCAACGTCTAGGATATAAGGTCAATATATAAAAGTCAGTTATATTTTTATATACTAGCAATAAGCAATATTAAAAGGAAATTAATAAAACATCCACTTATAACAGCATTACAAAAGAATAAAATATTTAGTAATAAATTTACCAAAAAGAAATGCAAGACATACACACTGAAATACAAAACATCATTGAAAGAAATTAAAGAAGACCTAAATAAAGGGGAACACTTCCAGTGTTGATGAATTAGAAGTCTTAATATTGTTCTGATGGCAGTACTTCCCACATTAATCTACAGATACGTGCAGTTCCTCTCAAAATTCCAGCTGCCTGTTTTTGCAGAGATGGACAAAGCTCATACTGAAATTCATGTGGAAATGCAGAGTACCCAGATTAGCCAAATCATTCTTGAAAACGGAGAACAAAATTGGAGGACTCACACTACCTGATTTCAAAACCTCCTACAAAACAACAGTCAGTGTGGTATCAGGACAGTGTGATATTGGTGTGAGGATGGACTGATAGATTAGTGAAGAGAATTGAGATTCCTTGTTTATGGTCAGTTGATTTTCAGCAAGGGTGCCAAGGCCATTCAGTGGGGATAGAATAATTTTTTCAACAAATAGGGCTGATGCAACTAATATCCATGTGCCAGAGAATGAAGTTAGACCCCTGCTTCATACCATTTATAAAAATTAAAAGCAGGGGCTTCCCTGGTGGTGCAGTGGTTGAGAGTCCGCCTGCCATTGCAGGGGACGCAGGTTCGTGCCTGGGTCTGGGAAGATCCCATGTGCCGTGGAGTGGCTGGGCCCGTGAGCCATGGCCGCTGAGCCTGCGCGTCTGGAACCTGTGCTCCGCAACGGGAGAGGCCGCAACAGTGAGAGGCCCGTGTACCGAAAAAAAAAAAATTGCATCAAAGACCTAAATTTAAGAGCTAAAACTATAAGACTGTTAGAAGAAAATAAGGTGTAAAAAAACTTCATAATCTTGGATCAGGAAGTCATTTTTTAGATATGACACCATAAGCATAAGCAACCGAAGAAAAAACAAATCAGACTTAAGCAAAATTAAAACTTTAATTCAGAGGACTCTATCAAGAAAGTGAAAAGACAGTCCACAGAATGGGAGGAAATATTTGCAAATCATTTATCTGATAAAGGACCAATATCCAAAGAACTCTAGAACTCTTCTGACTCAACAATAGAAAGACAATTTTAAAATGAACAAAATTTTTTAAATGTGAAATAGACATTTCTCCAAAGATACAAAAGGCCAACAAGCACATGATAAGATGCTCAGCATCATTTGTCTGTTAGGGAAATGCAAATCAAACCCACAGAGAAATACCACTTAACACCCACAAGAATAGTTGAAATAAAAAAACAGACAGTGGGAATTCCCTGGCGGTCCAGTGGTTAGGACTCCACACTGTCACTGCCAAGGGCTTGGGTTCAGTCCCTGGTCAGGGAACTAAAATCCCACAAGCCACACAGGGTGGCCAAAAGAAACAAAAAAACAAACAGTAACATGTTGCTCAGGTTGTGGAGAGATTGGAACCCTTATACACTGAAGGTGGGAATGGACAATGATCTAGCTGCTATAGGAAATAGTTTCATAGTTTCTGAAAAAGGTAAACTTAGATTTTACCATGTGACCCAGCAATTCCACTCCTAGGTATTCCAAGATAATTGAAAACATATGTCCAAACTTATTTGCAGATATTCATAATAGCATTATAATAGCCAAGAAATGGAAACAACCTGTATGTCGATCCATTGATTAATAAACAAAATGTGGTGTATCCATATAATAGAATATTATTCAGACTTAAAAAGAAATGAGGTACTGACATATGCTCTCACATGAATGAACCTTGGAAACATGCTAAGTGAAAGAAGCCAGGTATGTATGATTCCATGTATATGAAATTCCAAAATAGGCAAATCTGTAGAGACAGAAAGTAGATTAGTGATTGCCAGCGGCTGGGAAGATGAAGTGACTATTAATAGATACAGGATTTCTTTTGGGGATGATGAAAATGTTCTGAAATTAATGGTAATGATTGCATAGCTTTATGACTATACTAAAACCCACTGAATTGTACACTTTAAAAGAGTGAATTTTATGGTATGTGAATTATATCCCAATTTTAAAATATTTGAATTCTTACTGTAGGGGTATATTAATATGCTCTTCATTTTGACAAATTAGGCAATATATAGTAATTCTGGAAGTCTTCAACCTTTGAATAAATTTTTCTAAATTATCCTTTCTGGGTTGAAGTTAGAATTACTGATAAAAGTGAGGATATTTCTTCTCTGACTTGTTTTATTTACTTAGACCATTTAAAAACCTGCTGTGTAAATACATTAAAAAAATTTTTTTTTAATTTATTTATTTTTGGCTGCGTTGGGTCTTTGTTGCTGTGCGCGGGCTTTCTCTAGTTGCAGCGAGCAGGGGCTACTCTTCATTGCAGTGCATGGGCTTCTCACTGCGGTGGCTTCTCTTGTTGCGGAGCATGGGCTCTAGGCGTGTGGGATTCAGTAGTTCTGGCATACGGGCTCAGTAGTTGTGGCTTGCAGGCTCTAGAGCGCAGGCTCATTAGTTGTGGCGCATGGGCTTATTTGCTCCGTGGCATGTGGGATCTTCCCAGACCAGGGATCAAACCCGTGTTCCCTGCATTGTCAGGCAGATTCTTAACCACTGCACCACCAGGGAAGCCCTGTAAATACATTTTTAATAAAAAGAGTAACTTCTTGTAATACTGAAATTAAAGTATGGTATTATTATTTAAAATATAAGAGGAGTGAACCTGTTATGCTGCGTGTGGTTTCCATGTCTTGCTCTAGAAAGTCTGTACTTTGGTACTGAAGCGTTCTAGTATTGTTATTACAGGAGAACCAATTCCCCCTCGGACCTTGACTGAAGCTGGCACGATGGCACTTTGCTACAGTGCTGCTTGGGATGCACGAGTTATCACTAGTGCTTGGTGGGTGTACCATCATCAGGTAATAAGGGCTGTGGTCCTTTTTCTTAATTTAGTAAGAGCAACTGTGTTCCAAATTGTGAGGATATAGAATTGAACAAGGCAGACAAAGTACCTTGTGATGGAGTTGACATTTTGGTGTTGAAAAATAGATATGTAATGGCAGGTAACAAAGTTTATTTTTAAAGCGGAGTAAGGGGATAGAGAGTGATAGAGGCTACCATTTTGAATGTAGTGTCAGGGAAGGCCTTTCTGGAAAGGTAAGATTTGAGAGTGATCCAGTAATTATATGATAAAGACTGTTCCAGTTATGACTGGCCTACTGACCTAAAAAGTCTTTCTCCTGTTCACCTTTGTTGAAATTTTCTGAATTCTCTTTGGCCCTTCCTGTAAAGTAGGTATATCCAGTGTTTTTTTCTATACACTTGGTTTTAGTAATTGTCCTTCTTTGTGGTTAATGCTATTTTTTTGATGATACTTCATTCCATACATGACTTCACATTGCTATTCATTTCACTTTCTCAAGAATTATAATTGATAATGATAAACTTTTACAAAGTCTTAAAGCTATACAGCAAGGTAAAAAGAGTTCAATACTATTATCCTCCCTTAGATTTAGTTTCATTTTATATCTGTTTATATTTATTATTTTCTGCTATGTTGTGATATTGTGTCCTTAGGAAATTAATATCACTTCTGGGATTATATTTTCTGCCTTGGTACTATTATAAAAGTGGCTTTAATTCTTTTATGAAAAGGTTTTTTTAGTGTGCTTTTAATCCCTTGCATAACTATTACTAGTAAAGATACTCTCAGATTTGGGTGTTTCACAGATGTGTAAAATTTTTTTAAATTGTGGAGTTATATTGCTCACTTCCTATTTTGCCAAATTAGGAGATATTTTTTAAAATATGCTATTATCTTTATTTATTAAGATGAAAGGTTATTTCATTACCAAAAAAAAGTATCTCAGGAAAGGATTTAATGTAATAAATATAGTAAATATAGTTTTATACCTTTATGATGAGCTTATTAAACTATCCTTGTTTTTCTTATTATGTCTCACATTAGAGGAAATGTGGATCAGTTGTGGCTCTAGTCCATGGCATTTGAAAATGATTGATGTAGTGTATCCTTCATTATTTCTTTTCTTTGTTACGGACAAAGATATATCTGTCTTTGAAGACATAGCCCTTCAGTGTTAAGAATTTTTGCTAAATTATAAACTTTTCAGGACGTAGTACTGTTTACTTCAATATGGCTTTACTTTCTCAGGTGAAAATTTAAAAAACATATTTCTTAAGACAAGAGTATAATGTATTATTGTGTTCCTCAGGTGTCTAAAACAGCACCAACTGGAGAATATTTGACAACAGGAAGCTTCATGATAAGAGGTAATGACTTGCCAGTGGATTATGGAGACAGGTTTGAGGACCATACTAATATTCTCAGAACAGAAACTAATTATTCTGACTTCATATATGAAGTCTGTTACTAAATAAGGAAAATTTTGCTGTGGTGTGGCAAATTTAGCATTTGACATGTCATCTCCATATATATTTTTATTGATGACAGTGTACTTTCATATAGTTTACATTTATAAGGGTAAGAAAGTATAGGATGACCTTTTTTCTAAAAATAGATTATTCAGGATCTGACTAACCAGATGATGAGAGCAAGCATTCATATTTTTTATTTCTTAATTCCTGTTCCTATACATAATGCCAAATTCTGTAAATGGGAAATGTTCCTTCATGACAGAGAAAAGACAGAACAAATGTGACCATTGTGGCAGATATCTTATAAGCATAAAGTGGAGAAAACAGTATTTTTAAAACATTTATGTACATTTTCTTTTGTAGGAAAAAAGAATTTCCTTCCTCCCTCACATCTAATGATGGGGTTTAGCTTCCTCTTTAAGGTACTCTTCAGCTTCTTCATTATTTTTTTTCTGATTTTCATTAGTCTTAACCTAAAGTTCCACCAGTGAAAAGAACTGTTTCCATAGGTAGATGAGTCTTGTATTTGGAGACATCGGGGTGAACGAAAAGTCAGAGTGCAGGATGAAGACATGGAGACACTGGCGATTTGCACAAGTGAACTCATATCAGAAGAAATGGAACAACTAGGTAGTTTACAGATTTTAATAAAGTAGCTTATAATGTTTTCTGTTGTCTAGTTTTGCTTCTAACTTCTTACTTAGAAGATCGTCTCTTTTGGGGTAATTAAAATTTCCAAAAAACCCCAACTTGCTGTCAACTTTATTGAATTTTGGTTTTGGAAATGTTAAATATACTTATTCTAGTGAATTATAAAATGTTTAATTGGATCCATAACTAATACTTGAATATATGTTTATATTATAAAACTTCCCCAGTATTTAATGAGTAGTACATAAATGTGTTTAACAGAGATAGACTCGGGTATATATAAGTGAGCATTTACTTTTGGGTTTAGGAATTAGAAGCAATACAAAGATGAGTTTATAACAAGTACAATTTCTTATGAGAATTTAGCTTGATTTAATAATGTATTTGCTTCAAGTAGAGAGCAGCTGTGGTTGCTGAAATAAATTTACCTACCTACCTAAAGGAACTAGGGAATGTATGCCCTCTAAGTTATTTTTATATCTCCTAGAGTCATTCCTTTTTAGGAGTAATAGGTCATTGTTTCACTTACAACTGCTATTGTACATGATTCTATTTTTTTGAATTTTCACCATGTTTGTGACATGTATACTTTATTTACATTATTTTTTATTGAATTCTCACAACCATCCTTGTCAGATGGTTGATGGCATCTTATTTTATAGGTGAGGTAACTAGACCATATTATTACTACTAGACGGTGTTCCTTTTGCAAAAGTGTGAACACTTGCTGTGTGCCAGTTATGTAACTTATCTCATTTCAGTTCTTGTGCAAACTATAATAAAAGTGGCAGAATTTATATAACTTCTATTTTCCTCCTTTCTGGAAATACTTAACAAAGACAAGCGATAGTTTTCCTTGTAGAAATGGTCGCAATATCTAAGAAATTTATTGTAGTAAAGGATCTTGGAGATAATTTATTCCAAACAATTCCTGATACAGAGTATCCTTTTGTCTAAGTCAGAGTAACCTTTGGGGAAGATCAGGCATTTTTCTGGTGATCTTTTGGAGAAAGAGGGAGTGAATTGAATATTTTTATGAAGTTTTCAAGGAAATGTAACCTTGTTGTGGTGATAGCACTCTGACTTTCCTTATGGTAATTCAATAGATGGAGGTGACAGTAGCAGTGAAGAAGATAAAGAGGAATTAGATGAAAATCCTGTGGAAGTGGAACTTGTGACTCAGGTTGACCAAGGGGATATTACTATTCAGAGTGGTGGTGATGAGCTAAATGAACTAATTCAGGAAGAAAGCTCTGAAGATGAAGGAGAATCTGAGGAGGTGGTAAAGCATCAGGAACCTGTTGGTGAAATGAAGGATGAAGGGGAAGAGACATTACATTATCCTGATACTTCCATTGACTTGTCCCACCTTCAATCCCAAAGGTAATTTAAAAACTGTAATTTTAAGTTTTACTTTGTAAGCTGGGAGTGATGAAGAGTTAATCCTTATACAAATAATACCAAGATTGACTTCAGTGCTTTTACCCTCCATTGTCCTACGAGCTTACTATCTTTTCACCATTTGATAGGGGGGTAGATCTCTCTTAAGAAATTCCCAGGACCCAGGGTAGAAAAACACAATATATATAAAAGTGGCCAAACTAGGTCAAAATAGAAACAAGTAAATGGTTATAAATGCTAATAATAAAAGCAGTTACATTAAAAAAAAAAAAAAGGTGTCTTAGTCTTTAATGTCTTACTGATCACCAGGTAAACAATACCATAGCTATAAAAGCTTTATTATTGGAGTAGTTAGGAAAGGCTTAGGAGTCAGACCAGTATTGAATCTTAGAGTATGTCCTTGGGCAAGTGACTCTATGTCTAAGCTTCAGTTTTCTTCTTGGTGAAAAGAGAATGGTACCCTCTTCATAGAGTTTTGAAGGTTACATGAATGTAAAGCATCTAGCAGTGCCTGGTACATAGTAAGTGTCCAATACATGCCAACTATTTAAGAATATATTTTAAAGTGACGAGATGAGCAGTTTGATTATGTTTTTTCTAATTTTACCAAATTTGAAAATTTGTAGGATTGCCGATAATTAACTTAAGTATGATATGGGAATGTTTTGGGACTTTGTAAATGAATGTCTTTTATAGGGTAGTGGACTTCCCTTTCTGTTTGTTTCCATAGGTCTCTCCAGAAATTGGCTTCCAAAGAGGAATCTTCTAATATGGTAAATGAAGAACATCATGTCCTTCTCAATAAATAATTTTCTACTTTTTAATTTTAGCTTTATGAAAAATTAACAGTGGCGATGTTATTGTTTGTATTTGCTTGTTTTTTGTTTTAATAGAGCGACAGTAAATTGCAGAGCCGGAGGCATTTGTCAGCCAAGGAAAGAAGGTAAATATACTTGTGTTATTTAACTGAAAAGCATCTGTTTTTTTTTTTTAATTAACAATTCAGTCATGACAGATCACTTGGCTGTTACAAAGATCTCCCTTACTAAAATTACCAAGACTTAGCATAAATTTTGTTTAGTTTTTCATATTCTGCTCTAACAGGTTTTTCTGTTTTAGGGCCCCAGTCTGCTACTGTAATCAGTGAGATAGGTCAAGTAACACAAGACAGACCTTTTATTACATAAATATGTACAATAATAATTGCAGTGTATTAGACAGGCTGATTCTAGGATAATATTGACAGAAATAAACAGGAATACAGGCATACCTCATTTTTTTGTGCTTTGCAGATATTGTGTTTTTTACAAATTGAAAGTTTATGGCAACCCCACATGGAGCAAATCTGTTGGCACCATTTTTCCAACAGCATTTGTTCACTTCATGTCTCTGGGTCGTATTTTGGAATTCTTGTAATATTTCAAACTTTTTCATTATTATTATATTTGTTATGGTGATCTGTGATCAGTGGTCTTTGATATTACTATTATAAAAAAGAGTACGACTCACTGAAGGCTCAGAGGGTGGTAAGCATTTTTTAGCAATAAAGTGTTTTTAATTAAGGTATATACATGATTTTTTAAGACATATTGCTTTGCACACTTAATAGACTGCAGTAGAGTGTAGGCATAACTTTATATGCACTGGGAAACCAAAAAATTCATGACTCGCTTTACTGCGATATTCACTTTATTGCAGTGGTCTGGAACAGAATCTGCAATATCTCTGAGGCATTC